TGTATTACTATCTAATGTGTTGATTTATGCATATAGAGGATTCTGAATTTTTCTTGTTAAATTGAAAACAATGTTATGTTGTATGCATTGGGTTATTCCGTAGCAAAATTGTGGAGTGCTCTAGACTAAGCTCCATGATGTCAAACAAGATGGAAACGTTTCCAATAGGATAGATACTTCAAAAGCCCATAGAGACTTAACCTAAACACATTATCTAATAAAAACTATTTAGAAATTGTTTAACTTCAGTATCTTGATTTACAGTATCATATTTGTCACAAGGGTTAAGTTTAACATTAATATGGTAACTTCCCTGTACTACAAACCATTAAGTACGTGTCACTATTTTCGTCTTATTTCCTTAATATGAAGAATTTTAATACACGCGGCCCATTTCAAACAATTTTCTGGTGAAGGCTTGAAAATGAAAGAGAAAAGGTGAATGTTTTGGGCAACACAGAGAGTTCTTATTTCAGACATGTTGATATAAAAGGTTTGCTCTCTTTTCCCCATGCAAAAAGTCTGCCATTAATGATAAGTATTTTTAATATTTTGTCCATGAGATTATATGTATGTATGTATGTATGTATGTATATGGATTGCTGTTCTTATACATGAAATGACTTCAGGCACTGTTTAAATATATTTCATTTAGCAATTATAAAACAAGCCAAGCAAGAGAGATTTGTGCATTGCATATCTAGGTGGTATAGCACAGTCTACTGCTTCATTTCTAATTCTGTGGAGGCTGAATCATTTCCAAACTTTGCATTATATAATACCATGAGCTCATCTTCACAAAACCAAGTAAGCCAACTAAATCCCAGCCCCAAAGAATGTTATTTCTAAGGAAGTGAAATGAATTTGAAAAATTGTGGGTTTGGGAAATAAGTTCATGGCTGTTAAATACGGTAAACTGTTCAAATCTAAGAATTAAATTCTTAAACAAATCCTACTGGCACATTCCTTCAATTGGAGAACTATTAACTTACCTCTTCAGCAGTCTGTATCTTCTACTTTCCCTCTACTCCAGCACTGCGTCCCCAGTTAAACTTTTCAGCCATTGACACTTCTGGACTGTTGGATGCTTGGTCCTCCGCTGCACCCTGTAGTTCCATACTCCCTCACTACTGTTTCCCGTAGTGACACAGGGGTCAGGAGGATGGAAACACAGAACCCTGGGAGGTAATCAGGTGAGCTGCATGCACATATGCCAAAAACAAACATGTTCATAGAAGGAAAGCCCAGAGTGAGTAGAGGGATGACCTCATTTGATGACACCATTGTATTTCTAACTATAACAGATAAAGTTGTGTCATCCATCTAGCTGTGCTGACTGGCAGGACTGTACAAATATCAGTACAGAGACACAGAAATACAAATCCTTTAGCAGGTATAACACTGCCATTAATTTTTTTATCTGTGCATTTAGCTGTTTGCCTGCAGTTCAGCTTTAACTACGTATTGGTCATCACCACATTTGTGGCACACTAAGATTTAATTAACGTGTAAACCAATGATTAACATTTTTCCCTCCAAAATATGTTTTAATAGAAAACATTTTCTGAGAGCAAAACATGGAGAATTCCCTTTTAGACTTCAAATGACCTTGGTGTTCTTGCTGACCTTTTTGATTTAATACTCTTACATACTTGTAACCTAACCGTGCTGCTAGGGAAAGTTAAGAGGACAAGAGAGAACGTAGCATGCTACCATGCACCCTCAGCATACAAATAAATGAAACAGTTGCCTAAAGTTCATATTTTTTTGTTAAAGTTTAATGTCTGTGGTTGGCTGCCTGCTGTCAGGAAAAATGGAGGGGAGGGGTCAAACAGTTTATTCCGAAGATAGAACTTGTTCCCCTCTGACAAGCCTCTGCCAGTCATGGGGCACTCCATGTTTTGCCCATTACCTTCACTATAAAAGATCCTTCTAAGTTTAGCTGAGCCAGAATTATGCCTACACAATCAACTTCACCATGAAGTCTATGGGCACCTTAAACAGCAGTTCTGCAATATACATTATGTTCCCAGTGCAGTTTAGGCATTGTATTATGTTGTTACCACAGCTGGTTTTCTGAGAGTTTTTTAGGGTAAATGCAATAGGTAATAAACACAGTTTGTCTGCATATCAAAGCCACAAATGTGTCATTGGGTGGCAAACATGCATCAACAGAAAAGAGAACAAGGAAGTGGCATTCAAAAACATGCAGTTATATTAAAGTTGCACTTAGGTCACTAAATCTAGAACATGACCTGAAATGATACTTGGAACACTTACTATTGTCTGTACACAGTAATGCAAAAACAAAAATGATAACCTACAGCAGAGCTGGCAACTCCTGAAATTACGCTTTGAAGTGTATTTAATTTAGATTTTAAAAAATTATAAGAAGGGAAATTAATATTTGTAAACAAGGGTAACTGGTGGCTACAATGCCCTTTAGATACACAAGCTTGTGGGGCATGGAAGTCTCTCTTAAGCATTATGCACTAAATGGGGAGGTGAACTTCTCCACCCTAACCTCATGACATCTTCTAGAAACAAAGTTGAATTTCTATCTTTAGAAAAAAAAGACTTGTGGGATGGTCTAATACAGTGCTCCCCAACCTTTTTATCGCCGCGGACCGGTCAACGTTTAATAATTTTACCGTGGCCCGGTAAAATTACATTAAATACGTATCTGTATTTATTTCATTAATATTAATGGAGGTTGGAGTTACGCCGCACCCACACGTGTGATCTAATACACTAACTACACTAGTTTCAATAGAAAGTTCTCCCAGTCTGAGTGCACTAAGCTGACTGGCTTGACAGACACAGGCAGAAACATTTTAAGCTCCGAACTAAACCAATGAAATCCTGAAGCATTAGTTGAAGATGATAATTTACTTAATGGTTTCTTCTAATGGGATGCACTAGAGCACTAGAAATGAAGCACAGGCAAATGTGGACACTAAAAACATCATTGGGTGTGCCACAGCACATGAAGCATGCACTGCCTTTGTGGAAAAAAATGGGCAACATAAAAATAAGATTGCATATATCAGAGTCAGTGAGTTAGCCAAAGCATAAACTTAAAATACATTCTGCGCATGTCAGTGAATAAGAGTTTTACAACAAACATTGAAGTAAAACCAGCCAAAATGAAACAGCCAGTCTCCTGCATGCAAAGGAGCATCTACTAACGTTGCCAACGTTTTCAATTGTCGATTTTAATCGACTAAATCGATTAACTGTTGCAGCTCTACATCTACTATAAGGAATCCAACGGAACAGCAAAGTCAATCATCATTATCTCGCACACATTACATTAATGTTTACCTTTCACCTTGTTCTCATCACCAGACATTCCATTTTCCTCAGTGAAGACAGACATCTCTCACCTTCTGATTCTTTATTAACTAGAATTACACTAGGTATCAAGGTTCTATTCAGCAAGCTAAAGTGTAACCTAAACCCAAATATAAACATCTAATATATTGCAACCCATAGACATGGTGGCTGCATTCGTTTTCTTTCGTAAGGATTTTTTCCACCTTTATTTTAACCTGGTGATTCTGCCTGTAACAAACTTTCTGTCCAAGTTGACAGCCATTACTGCCCTGTATCTATGGAGGAGTATAACTGTCACCCTAGGACAGGAAGTGAGTCAAGATTAAAGAACATTTTCCTCTCTCCATAACATTCTGTAAACAGACATGAACTAGGCAGGGCTAATAACAGT